TTTAAAACTCGCACTAATTTTCTTCTTCTAGTTTCTCATTTTTATTCAGACAAACCTTCTATAGTTGAAGAATTCCCAATGTAATTATATCTATCCCATCATGGCAAGCTTGCTTCCTGTGTAAGAATTTATACCACACTTCACAATGGCGTGGTGATCACACCAGCACCAAACGCTGAATTTTCCATGCTCCAGCACGTCGCATGAATGATTCCGCTGTGAACCTCAGTTATGCGCAGGCTCTGTTGTTTGAAACCAGTAACCTGGACGACTAACAACTGTGACGTTAGCACTTCGGTATTTCCCAAAATGGTACTAGTTTGATCCCTTTGTTTGTTTCCTCGGTGCCAAAATGACGTTAACTCACATTATTTGGCTCAGGTTTACGCCCTTCTGCCTCTCAACCGAGTTAATTCAGGTAGAACCATAACCTATTGTGCAACTCCTACACTCTTCTGTAACAAAGCGTTTAAGTCCTTTAGCGTCATCTGCCGAGGCACAATTTTAATGTCAATATTATGCATACAAAGCATAAAAACACCATCATAAGTCTTCATTTATTATTTAATGTATCAAGGTAGCTAGGAAGAAGCCGAATTATCTTGGCATCATTTATTAAAGCGCAAGGGGTTGCTACTCTTCCCCAAAGTACAACCAATCATTATTTATTTTCTTATGGATACGATTATGAATCATACCAAGTAGTATTATGATTTGCTTTATCAATTAGCTCTTAGAGGATGTGTTTAGATTCTTATTTCGCTACTGTTTTTATTTATTTATATAAACAAAATCTGTTTCCATCGTAAATATTATGGATTTACTTCATATAAAAGGGCTTGGCATTGGAAATGGTTCGAAATTTGGTTATATTAACGTGCACTACGTTTTTGACGGAAGTATTGCGATTTAAGTTTTACTAACCAAATTATATTTTTTTTGCAGTACCCAAATTAATCGACGCAGAACTTTTCTCAATTTTCATTGTCGAAAATGACATAATCATGACCGTATTGAAACGTATTGAAGTAACCTATAATGGAAACGTTTGTTGAATAAAACAATTGTAATGATAATGATAATAATAACCATCATATACACACACATACATCCACGAACACTTTTTTTATTCAATTTGTTTTATTTCTCCATAATTATGTGCAATACAACCAAAAACATACAATTGAATATTATAAACACACACACACACACACACGCACACGTATGGGTAGCATTCATCGTTGTTGAAATTTGATTGAGAACACATCAGACCTATAATCTGATCACCTATACCTTAGTCACTGTCAAACGTTAATGTATATTTATAATTATACAGGCTCTAACCTGTTCCATTTACCCAGATTTTGAGCGGGTTCACGTTGGATAAAGAGCCAGAAATGTTATCTTTACCGTACATAGCCAGTCATTTTACAAGTGCTGCTTTTTATTGCTCAATTGTCCTTATTTATAATGATATCTATGCTCTTGGTTGAACATTTAGAATTAAAAACCCTTCCGCGTGTGATTCAAACCTCTCTACATTTTAATCCACTTATAGCGACACTTTTTTTCTCGAAATGATAGAGTTCAATAATTTGTTTGGCTAGTGACGTCTCTTTTACTGCGTGAAATTTATTTTGTCACAAACTGAATAGAATAACAGAGAGGTTATCATTCATGGAGTGTAAACATGCATAATGGTACCCATTTCAGTATTCGAAGCGATGCCAAAATCAGGCGCCAGATTATCAAAAGGGGAATCCCAAAGAAAATTAACTCTAAGAATAATAGGCATATTAATTTACGGGATTCACATGCAGGGTCTGTGTACAAAATGCTTTAATGGCACTGTATGGGTTATTATCACAAAAATGTGCATGCAACCACATCCAATCATGCGAAAAACTCTATTGATCTACAAAAGACTTGAAAGGTGTTTTGCAGTCTTTCCAAACAATGTACATATTTGCCTTTCATGATGAAATCATAGATCGTAAGGTGCAGTAACCCTTACTGAGTTGCAACATACATCATGTAATCGGGAAATAATCCAGTCTACAACGCTGAGGCTCAAATATATCGATATTTGGCAAAGGAAAAGACATGTGTAATTCTGACCGGTTCAAAATTCAAAATCCCTTGCAATAATAATATAGAACAATAATCTTTTACTGAAATGCAATATACATCATGTGATCGGGAAAAAATCAAATCTACAAAGCTGAAGCTGAATATATCGGTATTGGGCTTTGGGAAAAGACGTGTGTTGTTTTGAACAGGTCCAAATTTAAAATCCCTTGCAAAATTCCTTATTTATTACAGAATTTAGCAGTGAGTACAAGTCTTTCCTAAATGAACGTAACCGATTTGACCATTAAACTAGAAAAGGCTGGCTAAGGCAATAGTTTGCAATTTATTTTAGAGTGAATGGGAAGGGGGGGGGGGGTCAAAAGTGCACTCGCTTTATATTGACTTAAATGTTGATGACTGCCAAAAATTTGATAAAGAAAAGAGGCAACATAGAAGTTTAACGGAGGAATATGAATGACAAATATTTGAACTACGATTTAGTTCACTGCATAGGACTTTGGAACTTGTTTAAAACGGCAAAACTAACAACTGCACATTGCGGAAAAGAAAACAAATTGTGTGTTGTATGCTCATGCTTGTAGCATGCATAATGTGACTTGTTTATTTGCTAGAAATTTTTTTGAATCTTAATTGTAACATTTCGAAGTCAAGCGTAATGAGACAAGTAGACGATTACAAGAAACTCTGCTAGATTAGGATGTCTCGTAATAGTCTAAAACCAGTGCTTCAATTACGCGATTTTTAATGAAATATGGAGAGCATAAATCAACAGCTTCATAAGGCATCATTGAGGGGTAAGAGCCAAAGCCGCAAAAGCGTTAAAAAACTGCTAAAACAGGTTTCTAACGTAAACCAGGCAGACCAAGATGAATACACATCCTTACATATGGCGGTCCTGCAGTATGGACGAAAAAGTCATGTGGCTAGAGACAAGGCGTCTTCGGATGGACAAACGCCCTTACATCTTGATGCATCACTCGGACGCCTAGAAGCAGCAATAGATGTACTCAATCATGTAGCTAATATGTATATTGATGTACATGTAACCAAGCATCTCATCAGTCAAGGGGATGATGAGAATACGGAATATAATGATGGTTGGACTGCATTACACATTGCTGCCCAGAATGGCCATCTTGATGTCACCAAATATCTCATCAGTCAAGGAGCCGAGGTGAATAAGGGTGATAGTAGGGGTGGGACTGCATTACATAGTGCTGCTTTCAATGGTCATCTTGATGTCACAAAACATCTCATCAGTCAAGGGGCTGATGTGAATACGGAATATAATGATGGTTGGACTACATTACACATTGCTGCCCAGAATGGCCATCTTGATGTCATCGAATATCTCATCAGTCAAGGAGCTGAGGTGAATAAGGGTGATAATGACGGTTGGACTGCATTATATAGTGCTGCTCTCAATGGTCATCTTGATGTCACAAAACATCTCATCAGTCAAGGAGCTGAGGTAAATAAGGGTGATAATAGAGGTAGGACTGCATTACACAGTGCTGCTTTTAAGGGTCTCCTTGATATCACCAAATATCTCATCAGCCAAGGAGCCGAGGTGAATAAGGGTGATAGTAGGGATGGGACTGCATTACATAGTGCGGCTTTCAATGGTCAACTTGACGTTACAATATATCTCATCAGTCAAGGAGCTGAGGTGAATAAGGGTGATAATAGAGGTGGGACTGCATTACACAGAGCTGCTTTCAATGGTCATCTTGATATCACCAAATATCTCATCAGCCAAGGAGCTGAGGTGAATAAGGGTGATAATGACGTTTGGACTGCATTACACCTTGCTGCTGTCAAAGGTCATCTTGATGTCACCAAATATCTCATCCTTGAAGGAGCTGGGGTCAGTAAGGGTAATAATGTCGGTTGGACTGCATTACATATTGCTGCCCATAAAGGCCACCTTGATGTCACGAAACACCTCATCAGTCAAGGAGCTGAGGTGAATAAGGGTGATAATATAGGTGGGACTGCATTACACAATGCTGCCTATAACGGTCATCTCGATGTCACCGAATATCTCATCAGTCAAGGAGCTGAGGTGAATAAAAGTGATAATTCGGGTTTGACTGCATTACACAGTGCTGCTTCCAATGGTCATCTTGATGTCACCAAATATCTCATCAGTCAAGGAGCTGGGTTAAAAAAGGTTGACAAAAGGGGTGGGACTGCATTACACAATGCTGCCCAGAATGGTCATCTTGATGTCGCCAAATATCTCATCAGCCAAGGGGCTGCGGTGAATACGGGAGTTAATGATGGTTTGACTGCATTGCACCTCGCTGCTTTCAATGGTCATCTTGATGTCATAAAACATCTCATCAGTCAAGGAGCTGAGGTCAGTAAGGGTAATAATGACGGTTGGACTGCATTACACATTGCTGCCCAGAATGGTCATCTTGATGTCGCCAAATATCTCATCAGCCAAGGGGCTGCGGTGAATACGGGAGTTAATGATGGTTTGACTGCATTGCACCTCGCTGCTCTCAATGGTCATCTTGATGTCATAAAACATCTCATCAGTCAAGGAACTGAGGTCAGTAAGGGTAATAATGACGGTTGGACTGCATTACACATTGCTGCCCAGAATGGCCATCTTGATATCACCAAATATCTCATCAGCCAAGGAGCTGAGGTGAATAAGTGTGATAATAGGAAAAGGACTGCATTACACATAGCTGCTTTCAATGGTCATCTTGATGTCACGAAACTTCTCGTCAGTCAAGGAGCTAAGGTCAGTAAGGGTGACAAAACGTGTGGGACTGCATTACACGTTGCTGCCCAGAATGGCCATCTTGATGTCACCAAATATCTCATCAGCCAAGGAGCCGAGGTGAATAAAGGTGATAATAGGGGTGGGACAGCATTACACTCTACTGCTTTCAATGGCGATCTGGATGTCACCAAATATCTCGTCAGTCAAGGAGCTAAGGTCAGTAAGGGTGACAAAACGTGTGGGACTGCATTACACGTTGCTGCCCAGAATGGCCATCTTGATGTCACCAAATATCTGATCAGCCAAGGAGCCGAGGTGAATAAAAGTGATAATTCGGGTTTGACTGCATTACACAGTGCTGCTTCCAATGGTCATCTTGATGTCACCGAATATCTCATCAGTCAAGGAGCCGAGGTGAATAAGGGGAATAATACAGGTTTGACTGCATTAATTGTTGCTGCTTCTTACGGTCATCTTGATGTCACAAAACATCTCATCAGTCAAGGAGCTGATGTCAGTAAGAGTAATAATGACGGTAGGGTTGCATTACACGGTTCTGCTCAGAATGGTCATCTCGATGTCACAGAATATCTCATCAGTCAAGGAGCTGAGGTGAATACGGGAGATAATGATGGTAAGACTGCATTACAACGTGCTGCTCAGGAGGGTCATCTCGATGTCACCGAATATCTCATTAATCAAGGAGCTAAGGTGAATAAGGGAGATAATAGAGGTTTTACTGCATTACCCCTTGCTGCTTTCAATGGTCATCTTGATGTCACAAAACATCTCGTCAGTCAAGGAGCTGAGGTCAGTAAGTGTAATATTGACGGTAGGACTGCACTTTTCATTGGTGCTTTCAAAGGTCATCTCGATGTCACCGAATATCTCATCAGCCAAGGAGCTGAGGTGAATAAAAGTGATAATTCGGGTTTGACTGCATTACACAGTGCTGCTTCCAATGGTCATCTTGATGTCACAAAACATCTCATCAGTCAAGGAGCTGAGGTCAGTAAGGGTAATAATGACGGTATGACTGCATTACACGGTTCTGCTCAGAATGGTCATCTCGATGTCACAGAATATCTCATCAGTCAAGGAGCTGAGGTCAGTCAGGTTGATAATGACGGTGGGTCTGCATTACACATTGCTGCCCGGGATGGCCATTCTGATGTTACCAAATATCTCATCAGTCAAGGAGCCGAAGTGAATAAGGGTGATAATGACGGTTGGACTGCATTATATAGTGCTGCTCTCAATGGTCATCTTGATGTCACAAAACATCTCATCAGTCAAGGAGCTGAGGTAAATAAGGGTGATAATAGAGGTAGGACTGCATTACACAGTGCTGCTTTTAAGGGTCTCCTTGATATCACCAAATATCTCATCAGTCAAGGAGCCGAGATGAATCAGGGAGATAATGACGGTAGGACTGCATTATGCTTTGCTGCTTTTATGGGTCACCTTGATGTCACAAAATACCTCATCAGTCAAGGTGTTGAGGTAAATAAAGGAGAAAGTGTATGGACTGAATTACACAGTGCTGCTTTCCTAGGTCATATTGATGTTAGCAAATATCTTATTAGTCAAGGAGCCGAGGTGAATAAGGGAGATAGTAACGGTTGGACTGCACTACACATTGCTGCACAGAATGGCCATCTTGGTGTCATCAAATTTCTCATCAGTCAAGGAGCTGAGGTGAATAAGGGAAATACTGTGGGTGTTGCTGCATTATACAATGCTGCTCGGAACGGACATCTTAATGTCACCAAATATCTCATCAGCCAAGGGGCTGAGGTGAATAAGAGTAGATATGACGGTAGGACTGCATTATTCAATGCTGTTGACAATGTTCATCTTGCTGTCACCAAATATCTCATAAAAAAAGGAGCTGATGTTAATCATGGAGATGATAATGATTGGACTGCATTACACATTGCTGCCCATCATGGTCACCTTGAAGTCACCAAATATCTCATCAGTCATGGAGCTGACGGGAAAAAAGGAAATAATGACGGCTGGACTGCATTACACAGTGCCTCTGAGAATGGTCATATTGATGTCACCAAATATCTTATCAGTCAAGGAGCTGAGGTCGGTAAGGGTACTAATGACGGTTGGACTGCATTACACAGCGCTGCCAAGAATGGTCATTTTGATGTCGTTAAAGTCCTTCTGGCAGTAGGAGCACGTGCTGACACAAGAGACATTAATGGGCACACACCTCTACAATTTGCTTTATCCCACGGGTACCAAAGCATCGTCGATCTATTCACCAGCCATTCACATTGCAAGGTAAACATATTAAAAACACTCTTTATATTAAATGTATCTACCTTGATGTATTTAATACATGACTGTAGAACAACAAGTACTGAAATTCAATGAAGTAAATATTAGTCTAAGGTTTCCTATCATCATTTTTTACAGGCTTGACCAGCTCGATTTCTTAACACCAATAATAACCATCACTAATTATTACACCAGTTGGACTTCAATGCTGTTCCTTTATAGACTTCATAGACAAATTGCAATGGTTGCTTAAACCGTATAAGAATCATTGGATTAAATTGATCACCTGGGAGTACTTTTGTTTCAGAAATTCGGCTTTACTAGCATTTAAAAAAAACATTCAAATTTCCCTGCCGCGTTTTCTTATATCCAGCTCGAACAGGACGATTTAACAGATCTCCATCTGGCCATAGAACACGGTCACACGTCCATCATTGAGAAGTTAGTTTTTGAGGGAGCCGATGTCAATGTCCAGTCAAATGATGGCCAGACGTGTCTCCACAGAGCCATTAAACTCTGTTATAAGAGCGGCAGAAATATGCATGACACGGATACACTAAAAGAGGTGAGTTGTATACCAGGAACACAAACGAGACCGACGAGAGTCTGAACAACAAATTACGATACGGCCAAATATTGGTGTGTGTTTGGAGTCAACATGGATTCGTTACGGCGGTGTCACCGACATATACTGCTCCTCTAGGTCATCAGGGAATCCTAAAATATGATACCCGTGATTGACAGAAGAAAATATGTGTGTTGGTGTCTGGGCGCGTGTTCGTGCGTGTGGGGGAAGTTTACAACGTAAATAGGGATTTCCACTACTGCGAATTGATGGACGAAACTGTTCTAATACAAAAGTATATCTTTGTTTATGTTTCAGATCTCTGATGAGTATTACAAGGGCGAACAATCTCCCGGGAAGGCCTTGGTGTTTTATCTCCTGGAGAATGGAGCCAAGTTAGATGTGAGGGACAAGACAGGCAATCTACCAATCCAATATGCCAAGGACGAAGTAGTCAAGCAGATGATTTTGTCGAGGTGATACTTTTAAATATATTTATTGTAAACCAAATTTGTTTCTTTTTAATTATGGATTTTGTGAGAATTGTATTTTAACGCATAGCAAGGTCAAGAAATGTGTATTTTTTTCTTTTCCTAGATTATGCTAAGATAAGAGTATCTTTCTTTAAATTATGGACCTCGATGGACAATAAACAGTTGTTCGATTAATGACGATACCATTTAATGTAAGTAATTTTTCATACGTTGAAACAAATACACCTTTTCACAGCACAAATTGTATATCAATGACTTATCGACTTATTACATTTGCACTAATTAATTTCAGATTACCTTCTTTGGAGGAGATCCAGTCGTACCGAGGTAAGAACGTCCTACAAACACAAACAACTTTTCTCTTATCCAGAACGTCACAAATTAAAGTCTAGCGATGACCATTTATTTAGTTTGTCATTCTAAAGAAGAAGGAATTTGATAATTCATTGTCTGGGTCTTAAACTTATTCGCACACACAAACTTCACTCAGGTACTCCTAAAAAACTGCTTTCGTATTCATATATGAAAAAACTAAGAGTCATGTTTCCATCAATCACCCACATACACGTCAAAAACGTTGGATGAGCCCCCAATTTAAAAAAGCACATGTAAATAAAGATGCAATATCGATAATATTATATTAAAGATTTACCATATACCCTATTTATTCAACTATTACAAACCAGGAAGGAACGTCAGTGTTTGGGTGATTAACTCAACTTGTCAGTTGTAATAAAGTGAATCCTTTTTTGGAACAGAAATGAGATGAAAACTATATTTATATATTGGTATATCATTCCAACGACTATCCCGATCTGAATTTACAGTTACTTTGTCGATTATATCTGATCTTATTATTGTGTCATTTTCCTTTGTTAAAAATAAATAACAGCTGAACCATCAACACCTGCCATCGTCTCCGTTACAGTCGTAAGGAATACCAGTCAGGAAATTGAACTAGAAGACCATGGCGTATCAATGTTGATTCCTCCGGAGGCTGTTCATCAGAGTGACCCGTGCAAGATCACTTTAACCCTCTTACAAGGCCCTCCCAGTGTTGACATCCAAGATGATGAATCAGTGATCTGCTACGGGATCAGATGTGATCCTCCAAACATGATCTTCCACCAACCTGTTAAGATCAGGATACCACACTATGCCTTGGTCATGAACCCTGATCAAGTGAAACCAAACATCGTTTCCCGTGTATTGTATCCAGGCACAGGTGAGTCTATTGGGTTAGATTAAGACAATTACCTATATGTCATACTGAGATAAATGCAAATTGATGCAACGAGATCCATTTTTAGCATTTGTAAGACATTGCAGAGCAAGCATCACGAGCGCCCAGCTGAGGCGGACACCGACGCTATAGAAAGAGCCATCATCATCATCATGTTAAACCAATTGAAAATTAAGAAAAATATATATTCTTTTTCAACTTCGCTAGTAGTACAGCCCACCATCGGGTGTGTTCTTCAAGACAATCAGTCTTGACTCTTGAATCTTAACTTCTGATTGTGATCTCGGAGTTAATAGTTGAAACTCTAAGTATCGTCCTCACCACAGTCCCAAAACGTTGTGAGTAACAATTTTCAACTAAAATGTATCTTTGGAAACTTTCAGTAAAGGGGAAATGGTGACGGGGGAATTGGTGCTGTTTGATATGGCTGCTTAAAATCAAAATCATTCGAAAAATTATTCTTGTCAAAAACACCCACTATGTATATTATTTTGATGTCAGTATACATCTAAGGTTTCACTGTTAAACGGACAAATCGACCTTTTGCGTTGTCAACAACAAACGCTTTTTTTTGTTGTTATCCACTTACACCAGATGTAACAATAACATCAAGAAAAAGATCATCCAGCTCACCAAAGGAACCACCATACTGCAACGTTTTCAAGAGACATCTTGAGCTGTACATTGGAAAGTGTGCTGAGTGGTGGGTTTTTATATCTCTCGAGCAACAGGTGATCCAACACCAACTTATATGCACTCCATACATCCTAGACAAGATAGAGAGAGGACAAGAGTTTAAAGTTCACCTGCAGATGCATGCGGACCTTCCTGGGATGGAAACGGTCAGTAAACAGCACCTGATTATTGGCAATCAATTGTTGGAATGTATTACTAAGAAGTACTTCGTAACGTTTGACCAGTTCCTACTGGCTTCTTCAGGCAGTATGATTTCTGTTTTAGACGAAACCCATCTTATTGTTACGCGTTGAATCAAAGTCTTCAAAAAACTGTTAAGGAATTATAGTTAATATTTGCTCGTTTTTAATGATATAATTAAAACTGCAATGCTCTCATATCTTATCCCGTATTAAACATTTGCCCCCAATGAAATATACAATTGCCTGTGTCTTTTAACATCTACACACAGCCCTTCATGTAGAAATTCATTCATGTTTATGGTTACAGAGGGTCAAATACGTTTTGTATAACTCCCAATGTATGACTTTATGTAAGACTTTAATGAATTCACTACCAACTTTCCTTGTCAATTTCAATTTTTATTTGATATTTTTGCCCAACTATAGCATCAAGACACAGACGTATTTAGCCCGCATTTATTTGCACAAGTGATATCAACCACTTTTGTGTTCACGCAAATGATCATTTCCGTAATATAATCAAATTCAATACACAAATATCTGTTAAGTGCCTCGTTGCAAATCATTTTACGAATAACTGTATTTCAATAGTCAGAATGCAGATCGATTTGATTAATTATTGCTAGATACACATCTTTGTCAAGTGCCTTGTTACAAATTATTATACGAATAACTGTATTGAACTAGTAAACATGCGGATTGCATACATCAATTGTTGCTATGTAGAATAATCACATTATGACTTGCTCTTCCTAACAACACGTAATGTATGCAATTCGCGTTCTGACTATTGAAATACAATTATTCATAATTGGTGAATGGAATACTTTGTAGCAAACACTTAACATACCGAAAATGGTCAATAGGTATTAACAGTTTTTTCCCCAAACGCTGAGATTGTTACAAATACAAAATTATTTAACCTTCAAATGTTTCTTGGAGTATGGACTTAAAAAAACCCCGGAATTTCTCACTGCCCAGAACTATTTAGAACCACCTCATTCTAAGAGTGATAAACTAGTTATTAGTTTTCTGTTGAGGTTCAAAACATTTTCTTCACCGAAAGGAAATTACTTATTTCTCATTAATGTATAAGTCTCTTCCTATGAAATAGGATATACGAAAGGAGAAGAAGCAGCAGTCGTACCACAAGAGCCATTGTTCCGTTCCCTTCAGTGTTGAATCTAAGTCTGGTGACGTCACAGTGACGTGTCATCGAGAGGGCAAACAAGTTGAAAGCAAGGTAATCAAAACTCAAAAGGATTTGTATGACGTGTCAATAATCTGTAGCGAATATATAACATTTGTGTTTTCATAGCAAAGGCTATATTTAATGATCAAGCTATTATTGTTTACTAAAAATTTACCAAAGTTTTAATTAAAAATGTCTGAGATAAAAATGTTGGAGGTAAACATGTCAGAGGTAAAAATGTATGAGGGTCTATCATTCTTACATCTGGCATGCTACTATTATGCATCTACCTCACCTTTTACCTTTGGCATTTTTACCACGGGAATGTTTACCTCTGACATTTTTACCTGTATCATCCTCTGGTATTCTCATGTTTTACCATTCTTACTTTGACGTATTTCCCTTTATTCCTTTTGTATGTGACATTTTTAGCGAGCAATGTTAATAAACATTCCCTTTCAATGTTTGATGAAGTTATCCGACAAGAACATCATCGGGTTTGATTGAGATGCAGTTTACACCAAGGAGGACGAGAGGGGCGTTTACCATCTATCATATGAACGAAGTGCTACTATACGCACTCCTCTAATTGGTACATTTGGTACTCTTGGGGAATGTATCCATGGTAAACACAATCGCATCTTTAAAAAAAAGAAGTATATTTTAATACCCTCGTATAAAACTTATTGAACTATCTAATTGTAAAATTATGACAATGACGTAGTTGAACATTATTTCTAGTGGAAATACATTAGGGTATTAAAATCGCCATTGAGCTGATTAATAAAAAAAAGTTGTGATCTTGATGGTAACAGGAAATGCTATCAATAAATTTACACATCTCGACTGTGTCGTTTTTTTCCTTGTAATGACATTGTTTTAAATTTAGTATTGTTATTTTTTTCTTTATTTCAATATCACAGGTTCTTTCTTTGAAGGATGTTTGTGGCAAGATGAGACACAACATATTGTTGTCCGTGACTCCTACTGATGATAATGCAAAATTCACAGGGATAACCATTACGATTACACAAGCTGGAAGCCTAGAGGTGTCTCGATCAATTGCTTTTATCATAAGACACACGGGTATAGTTAATCTCTCTTCATCAAATTATATGTTAGTTCGTGGTTAGTAACTCAAGAGTATGATCAAATAAAGAACGTGAAATATTTTGATAAATCTCACAAGAAATTATTCTAGCGCTTACAGATAATAGCATCCGAATGCAATGTTTTTCATTAAACAATGAATGCCTAAGATTATCCGAAAAATTTAGCCAAAATACTGTTCGGAATGGGTTTTTTCATTTTTCATTTTGACATTTACGGTCATGAAGTACGAAATGGGGGCATATGTTCATTCGCTTTTTTGTACATGTTCAATATAACATGACTCATTATACATATACTTCTTCTGTTAGTTCAATCATTAGACACAGGTTTCAGCAAACTAAAGACCATACGCAGAGGAAGTGGTAATGATAATAATACAAAAAAGCTCAAGTCGTTCTTGTATTTTCTCTTTAATTTGCCCTTTCTTCAATTCTTTTTAGATGGACAGGAATACCTTTCTCCTTCTGAGCCCCTTTCATTTGTTGGGTAAGCTTAAAATCATACATCATAGATGATAATGCTGTTTCGTTTGGACAAAACTACATGTATATCAGCTTTATCGAATGGAAGTTTATCCTCTTTAAGAATAATCGTTGTGGAATAAATCCAAACAATACTTCTGATTTTGTTTTTCATTTTTAGGACGTGAAGAAAATAATTATAAATTCAAGTACTTTTCGCATCTCAATATTTCTACGTTGCAGAAGGTGAAAAGAAACGTATTTGATGACATTTCTCTGTTTCATCGCTCTGTTTCGTCAAAGATATTGATAGGTCCGATGAGGCAATAAGAATTTAAGTTGCCTTTATAAATTGAAATGAATGTAACATTTGGTCCTGAGTCGAATTTAGGCATTTGTTTAGTAAATAGATAACAAAGCTGTTCCATTTGAACAAAGCTACATGTGTGTCGTTTGTAGCAATGAAACTGTATCCTCTTTAAGAATGTTGAATACGTTAAACCAATTCCTCCCTTTTTTTTCTTTATTTCAAGACTCGACCAAAATAATTATGAATTAGAATAGATCACGTAAAACAAGACCAATTTTGTTTCCCCACCTCATTATTTTTTACTTTGCAAAGGCGATCAGAAATGGATTCAGTATTCTCCATTTCTATTCCGTCAAAGATATTCATAGGGCCGATGAAGCAATCGAACTTTGGGTTAATTTTATAAATCAGAATGGATGTAACATTTGGGTTGAGCTGAAGTTCCTGTATTCAAGTTGTAAATGCTATACCGGTACATATACACCATGAAGCCATTGTCTTCGGAACATTTGTCGTGTAATCATTCCTGGGTCTATGATGCATATGGTCAAAAACAAAGAAACGTCCTGCCTTATTTAGCGTCAGGTGGTGGTTCATACCTTTATAACTATCGTTTTAAATAATTTAAATAAAGCAAATTTACCAGAAAACCTTCACTTTGTATTGCAGGGCTGTGGAAGAAGTCTTGAAAAGTGACCTGCCGGATATTGATGTCCTTACAATAGCCCAAACAATGACAGTAGACCAGTTCTATGATTTGGGAGTAGCTCTTGGTTTCACCATACAACAACTGGATATCATAGAATACAGGAGGTTCCGTGACAGAGAGCAGGCCATCTATGACATGTTGATGACATGGAGAGAGAGACAACCGTCCGGCCAATCAACAAAGGAAACGTTCCTCTCACTCATGGAATCTTTAGATCTACCGGCAGAAGGAATCGCTATATCAGGTCTGACTTTTGAACAAAGTGTCGGTTTGTATTTCTCGTTGATGTCAATTTAAAATGAAGAAAATTACTCCCCTTAAAAACACTCCAGAAAAAAAATTAGAATTAAGATTAATTCACTCTTTTTAAAATCGTCCTACATTGGACCTACATTATTGTAAAACAGTGGGCTTCAACCTTCCTGCTAACCAAGGGACGAGGACACAAAAGTATCTTCTGTTGTTTTTTAAACGACTTTAGTTACATAGGGTTTTATAATCAGGATAACTTTGGATAATAAATATGGTTACATGGGAAATTGTCACACATTTCAAATTGTATTTCAGTGATGTGTGCTGATAGATGTTAGGGTTTAATATAGAATTAAGAGCAAGATCCAGTAAATCTATTTCGAGACGCTAATGGCGTTTAACAGCCTATAAATATGTTAGAGCTCTAGATAACTGTTAATAGTGCGTTGGAACATGGGCTGAAATGTAAGTATTTGAGTTATTTCGAGATATTATACAGTCAAACCTGCTTTAGTGAACACCTGTCTATAAAGACCACTTTTTTTCCATTGGGCGGTCGCTGTAGAAAGGTTTGACAGTTATACACAATACATGTCATTTTATTCTACACCAGAGAAAATATAGAAGAAATAGTGGGTGGGATAGTAAAAATACTACTTATCTAGTATTCTCAGTGTGAGAGATGTTCATGACTTCATTGGCTTGGCTTATACAAACAAGGCTTACATCTAGTTTGATTACATTTTTTAAAATAAATTGTTTATTCCTACAATCTTATTCTTTATTTGTGTTTATGTTTATATCTTTATGTTCTACTTTTGCCTCACCTACGTGCATCAGACATTGGACTCACTGGGTAAGATTTTAATTTATGTCAACTATGGTGTTAATAGAATCGATATTGTACGTGGGTTGTATTTATTACCGCCAATGAAAATAAACTAGCTGCAGTGTTATCAATACAATTTTTACTCAAACGCCTGTTGATTACAATTGGGAAACTAGACATTGAATTCGTAACAGAGACGAATTAGGTGATCTGCTGCTTTAATGGAGACCTAACACATGTAGAAACTCAAAGGAAGATATGGCCTTTAAAAAAATTGCACCCTCCACTCATATAGCATGCCTATGTACAAGCTTAATTAGTAATCAAGGATGTAGAAACAGTAGACATGATTGCCATGATTATTGTTTAGTATAACCCTGTTACCATTAAATTAATGACAGCAGCAGGCGAACTAAAGCAGCAAAATAACATGTCATTCATGAAGTTAAATTTCTGATTATGTACTATACAAATATGTTGGATCGTAAAAAGCAGCAAAAAAAGCGATGTTGACGGTCGAGAATCGATGTTCTCGTTTTTTTTTATCAAAAACGTACAATAGAAGGTCTAAAAATGTAAACTATCCATAAAGCAAACATGACACAAACTCAATAGGAGAAAGCACGTACAAGTAGAAACCATAATGGCAGATTTTGCAGTCTTCATCTTAAATCAGAATTTTTACTACGTTCCCGTCTTCTGAACAAAAACTTAATCATAGTACATTTGTAGAGTAAATTCTCAGCTACAACTAGTAAAATATGGGAAACATCAGAGTAGGGATAGGCGGATATCTTCAAAACAACAACGGAAAATATTACCTGATCAAATCATATTCAATTGTTTTCTTTTAGGTGGCACTATTTTAACATCAAAGCATTCTAACAGCAAACGTGATACATGAAATCGCATCTCGAATTCATACCCTATTAGAACATAAACAAAAGGTGGGGGTAACCAGCCATTCTGTAGAGTTATGGCGAATTAAAGATAGGTACTTTTTTAATCACATATGGAATTTTTGGCAAAAGCGTGCATGCGTCAATTTTGAGATTAAATTAACGTCTTTGAGCTAAATTTAGGTCAAAAAAGCTAAACGTGACTTCAAATTGCTAAGAATAGTATCAGCGACACTATACACGTGAAAAACTTTAATTAATACCATCAGTACGGACGACACGCACAAAAACGCCCAAGCATAATTTTGAAATGTTAAAAAACGTCTGAACTTGCAGTAAATTGGTCCAATAAGCAGCTTCACCAATTTGACATTTTGAAGCACGTGTACGCATTCGCCGTGACGCGCGAACTGACATGGTTGTGACCAAAAGTGTACGCATGAAGTCAAGTTTATGCATATCACATATCATTCAGATATGATAATGTATGAATGAAATATGGTCAATATTGAAATAGAAATTAACAAAATGAGAAAAAAAGAGAAACAGATTTACACACGCGCACACCCACATACTAGTACCTTGAAAATATCATTATAATCTCTCGGTGAGTTGATGTATTACTTTGAAGAAGCGACAAAAAAATACTTGTGGGTTTCTCGACTTATGACTTTATTCAATGATACAGAGAAATTCCTGACAGGACACTGCTCGCGTTCGCCCGTCAGATCAGACCGAAAAAGTTCTTTGAGATTGGCGAGAAGCTTGGATTCAACACGTCAGAGTTACAACACATCGAACATCGGATACTATACAACAGGGAAAATGCTAACATCCAAATGCTCTCAAGTTGGAAAGCATCTCAGACTTCAGGACCCAAAACAAAGCAGACACTGAAGCTGGTTTGGGAGTCTGTGCAGGATGTTTCGAAAGCAGAGAAAACCGAGGGTATCATAAATCATGCAATTAAAGTCTTCTACTGATCTCAAGTACAACATAAGAAGGAATCATTCAATTTTATCATTTTGGAATAGTGATGATTGATAGTAATGATTGATTAACCTAGTGAATATATACGACAATATTTAGTCAAATCACACTATAGTATTTTACAGTTATATATTGAGAGTATTCCCCTTTAGCTTAATTTAAATTCAAAATATATATACGTTAAAAAATTGCGATTAGTAGCTTAAAAGAGTATAGAGTAGCTACTATGTGAAATAAACATTAACATGTATTTAAACCATGACCACTGTAAATTCCTCGTACACCTTGCACCCATCGTCTACAATAATTTGATAGAACTTAACTGTATTTATTTTTTATTTGTTTTAACTCTTGTATTTTGTTTTATGTTGTGTTTTAAATAAGCTTCATCATAATGTTTGCTTTTATGTTTTAATGATGTCAATCATCTGGATTTTCTGGATGTAAGATCAATCACTTTTCTCCATGTATACTAAATTGTGAAGGATCTAACACCATTAGAATAATTTTAAAATTGCATTTTTAAATGACGGTGAAATACTGTGCGGTGCGTGTGGGGTGGGGGTATCATTCGATATTTCATTCATTGGTACATGTATTGTATCGGCTTCTTATTTGATGAGGATGTAAATTGATGTCGGTGTTATTAATGGGATCATTAACATTACTTATAATCTGTCAGTACCACATGTCAATACTAAATTAATAACATCTCATTAATTTTCAGATAGTGGAAAGGGCATCGCTCTCTTGAATACGAAAACTGCTGGCACATCTCAAGCTTTAGCTGAGGAATCAGATCAGTAAGTTTAAGTGTTCATGAGTCTATCTCGCAATCTCATTTCATGTGCTGATGCTTGTATTACAGCGGCATTTCTTTTCCCGCTACATTTCGTAAAATCAGCATGCAAATTAACATTCAGTTAACTCAGTATTGTGCGAAATTGAATGTTGGCTTTGATCATAATTGCCAAAGTGTTATTTTAAATTCTGGTTTAATTTTAGGGTCATATGTCATTTCATTTTGAAGTGTATGATGAGATTTCAATTTCGAAACGCACACAAAGAGCATCCGATTTCGTGCCTGCAGTATGCAGTAGACATTCATCATTCTCGTTATATATAGTGAATGGGCATGCAATTTTGATACTTGTGCAATACATTTCATCAATGTTAAAACGCAGTCAAGTTATATCTTTAAGCATGTATTTAAAATTCCTTGCAAACTTTTGCACAAGAAAATAAATATGAATGCAATGAAAGAATAGATCCAGTATGAAAAGCAATACGTACATAGACGGAAATGAGCGCCTTCTTTGAAAAGAAATAGAGAAGGCTGTAAATTATGTCCATAATGTGGCCGTCCAATGGCGCAAACGAATTTGGAATACGGCGGGAAAATCCATATTCCAGTCAAGATCGCCAACAGGCAATTTGAAAAAACGAAAACTGTTTGAATGGATATGATATTTACAGTGTACCTACTACTCGCTATTGAATTAATACATTTCTTAAATTTGAGGTGTAGCACACTATACTATCCTTCTAATTATTGATGGGAAAATTATCTTTGATTTTCACTTTTGCTTCCGACTGCTATGACAAGGAAAATTCGAAGGATTTCATTTAGGAGGTGTTGTGGTTCAAGTTGTTAGCTCTTGATTATTGGGTTGTTAATAAATTATGAATCCCACACATGCGAAAGTCATTACAGTTTGCTCAGCATTGTGAGCGGATGTGAGCATCAATACACAGGCGGCAAAGCAGGGGTTTTTTTTAGACATGAAATATTTAAATATTTATATATAAATAAGGGTGTTGGGTATCAATTTGTCCAGAGCACCTCATTTGTTCTACTTGGACAACCTTGGATTTAAATAAATTTATATAAAAAATGGCCGCCGTGTATAACTAATGTTGAATGATAACTCAATAGTGTCTGACAGTGAAGTCTAGAAAGTAAACGGGTTTCCTTGCATGATTTGAATACTGGGACACTGCTAACGTTTAAATTTCTCCGATATGACAGATTGGGTGTCCTCTAATTGAAAGATAATTCACTAAACGTTAAGAGGTACACTGTACATTTTTAGGAAGACTTAGTATTCTACATGTTTGGGAGCACTTCATTTAACAGATTATGTAATTAAGAACATGGATAAAGGTAATTATTCATTGGGTGTGTTTATGGATTTGTCAAAAGCGTTCGACACCATTGACCACCACATACTGCTCAAAAAATTAAATTATTATGGTATTCGCGGCCTTTCATTGAAATTAATTGAAAACTATTTGAGTGATAGAAAGCAGTATGTGGTGGTTGACGGTGTCTGTTCGACTAAAAGGGATGTAATATGTGGTGTTCCTCAAGGATCAGTTCTAGGGCCCCTTTTGTTTTTAATTTATATAAATGATATTAAACAATCTTCAAATGTATTAAATCTTACACTCTTTGCAGATGATACTTCCGTTATTACATCACATAGTAGTGTATTTACTTTAGTTGATATTATGAATAATGAATTGATAAAATTGGATAATTGGTTCAAATGTAATAAATTATTTCTCAATTATGATAAAACAAATTATGTAATATTTCATTCTCGAAATCGGAAGATCCCTAGTGATTTATTGCCTATACAAATTGATGTAAATATTATAAAAGGAAAGAATGTGTTCAGTTTCTTGGTATTATAATTGATGAATTGATTGGAAACCTCATATTGATTGCGTTTCGTTGAAATTATCTCGAAGTATTGGAGTTTTGTCAAAGCTAAAGAATGTTTTACCATCAAATATTTTGCTTATGTTGTATAATAGTATGATTTTTCCACATGTAAATTATTGTAATATTATTTGGGGAAATACTTATGCATCATATATAGATAAGATTTATTTGTTACAGAAACGAGCCGTGCGTATTATTACTAAATCTGATTATTTAGCCCCATCACGGCCACTTTTTGTTAAAACACACGTAGTCCCAATTTTTGCATTGATTCAATTTAATACTCGCATATTTATGTTTAAATTTCAAAATCGCCTATTGCCAGAAATTCCTAATATAAACTTTGTTATTAATAGTGATATTCACTCGTATTCTACTCGTCAGAAAAATCATTTACATTTATTTAAAGTTCGTACGACAAATGCACAAAATTCTTTCTATTTAAATGGCATTAAGGAATGGAATAATTTGAGTAATGATATTAAGGAAAGTACAACTCTACCTCGATTTAAAGTACGATGTACACAGTTATTATTTAATGATTTATGTAAACAAGTTTGAGCAGAGGAGGATATTTTGAATGTATGTGTGTATGTATATGTGTAAGCGTGCTTGTGTGTTTGTATCATGTTATTTTAAAGTTTTTAAACTGTATAATTTATGTGTAGTTTGTTTTTTCTTTTTAAGGCCCCACCACAAGCAATTTGCTTCTAAGGGTGTCCTTTACCGTATTATGTTTACTATGTTACTCATTTGTATGTACATGTTTCATTTTATGGTTAAATAAACTTTACTTACTTTACATGAACTCCAACGTAGTTCAATGTACAAATGATAACTAAATTAGTTTTGTCACCATTGAAGTATGTAAAAAAATTGATTTGTCCCAATTTATGTTTCATGAGAATATGACATTATAAAGCCTACATCTAAAAGTATTCAACAAATGCCCTAATTTAACCAGTCCACTTTTCATTCTTAAGTAACGAAAAACTTACACATTTATAAGGGTTTTATAATAAACTAGTGGTTAACTGTTTAATTTTTTAAAATTTGTATGTTTTTTTTTTTCAACAGAGAAACTGCGGAGGCCGAGAAGAACGATTATGACAATCTTCCGGAAAAGGCGCAAAGTGATGGAACAGACAGTGTAGAGCCAATAGACTACGCCTTAGGTGAGATACGTTTTATGCATCTGAGGCAGGTGAATATTTCACCTACAAATTAAGAACCTTTATTTAGATATTTATCGGCGTAGTCAGTAGTGATTATGTTGATCAAGATTATTTAAACAAAATATCAATCTTATAAATGATATGGGGTTTTCTTTATTGTGTGGTTTGTGTCAAATATCTCAAGTCCTAAATATCACCTTTTCTCATTTCCAAAAAGCAGGACTAGATTTCCTCGAAGCAGCGCATGCACAAGGGCCCTCAGGAGGACAGACCATGACACAGGAGCCTACAGCAACCACTAACCAACCTCTTCTAGATGACAAGTCCTCCAAGAACCAAGGTAATGTGGCCAGTGAAGGTAAAACAACTGTCGGCCTATTCAAATATGATATGCCTTGTCATTCAATGAAAAAAAAATTGATAGAGAACTCCCAAACAAGAACGTACACATGGCACTGTATCGTAAAAATGCATTGTTGTATGGTGAGAGTAAGATCGCTTTTAAAATTCGGTGGAAGATGAATATGAAAAGAGGACAAACAGACGAAATGTTGTTGACTTGATTTGTCACCTGACCTTAACTGAGACATCAGCAGATAATGGTCTACTCCTTAATACTTAATTGAGCCCTGGACACGAAGAAATCGGAAAGAGAGCTAAGCGGAAGAATAACTCAAAACATTAGGTGACCTGCATACAAGCATTTTGCAAACCTGCAATAGCCGCTTTGAGGTCAAAAAGTTTGTTTTGCCAGGTCCATAATTATATTATTATTATTCCTTCATTCCTAGAAAAAGTTGTATTTCAAATACAAATACCACGACGAACAGATACATAACACTGGTAACAATAATGTGCACAATGAAACCGTATAGTATGATACATTCGTGATATGAATGACAATGTTAACTCATGATACAATATTGCTTAATGATTGTGGCGCACTTATGCACTCACCGCACCTTCATTTGTTTAGATGTTCGCATATGAGTGTTTTCGGTCTAAGGATGAAGATGAAGTAATGAGTAGGATTATGGTGACGATGATGATTATCATGACAGTGATGCCGATACGTCAGTCATAACGACAACAAACCAAACTAACGATGACATTACACCCGGTCTTTAGAAAGGTCTGCCGGTGTTACAGAGGAATGGTGGTGGTAGTGGTGATGATGTTGACGATGTAGGTGATGATGGTGTCGTGGTGGTGAAGATGATGATAATAATTATGGGGGCAATGATTGATGATGGTGATGATTTTGGTGATAATGTTGTTGATGATGATGGTGATGATACTTTGCTTAATAGCTGAAACTGTCATTACTTATTGGTTGTGGGAAAATATTGGTAAACAGTAAGGAAATCGTCGCGACCTTTTAAATTGCCATTATTTTATTGGAAAGTTACATAATTTATACAAAATGCAGATTAACAAAAAAATCTACCATAGTTTTAACCGATTTTTAAAAGTGTTTGACGGGATTGATCATAGTATTTGTATTTGTAAACTTGTTAAATTGGAAGTTCGACCATGTGTCATTTCGTTAATAGTAGATTTTTTAGAATGCTGCCAACAAGTATCACGTATAAAAGTGGTATTTTAAATGTTCTCGGAGTTTATATACAATGTGATTTAAAATGGGATACTCAAGTAAAGGAAATGTTAAAGAAGTGCAATAGAAAGTCATATATGTTATGTACCTTAAAACGTTGTAATTTACCCATTAGTGTTCTCGTTATTGTTTATACTGGATACATGAGACCAATATTAGAGTATTGTGCACGACTTTTTCATTCCAATCTAATGCGTAAACAAACAGATAATATTGAACGAATATAAAAACGGGCATGTAGAATTATTTTTGGACTTAATTATGAAACATATAATCATGCTTTACAATTATTGTGCGATTTATTAACGTTGGAAGAACGCAGGAATAAACTTTGTTTTGATTTTGCCATTAAGTGGATTTTGTTCTTTATGGCTACCAAGTCAAAGAATTGTTAATTTTGATCTACGAAATGAACACAAATATTCTCAATTTATTTTTAAACCAATCGATTTTAGAATAGCTCTATTCCCTATTTTGTTCGCATCTTAAATGATTAGTATTAAAAAGTAAGCTTCGTGCATGTTGTATATTTGTTTTGTTTAATGATGCTGCCTATATATTTTGCGTATGAATGTATCTAGTATATTTATCCTTTTACATGTCATTTATTTGATCTTTACATGTGTAATGCTGCATTTTAACCATCGTGATGTGATTTACCTTGTAAATGACCATGCAATTCAGCTTCGGCTTCAAGAACGTCATGTTGAATAAACCCTTATTGAATTGAATCATTGAATGATGGTAATCATCGTATAACGTTTGAAATACGTTTGAAGTACATAATATAATATTTTACACTTGAGAAAATTAACAAACTTTTTACATCCTACCAATCATTGTTTTTTAGTTGGCAAGAAAATCCAATGGGATCTTTTGACAGACAGTCCTCAAGAACTTACCCTTCAAGATAATGAAGTAGTAATATCATGCGGCGTCAGATTTACGACTTCTGGAGCCAAGCTCAGCGAAACCTTTAAGGTCACATTGGACCATAATGCACATTTCACCAATCCAAGACGTGCAGAGATCGTCTTCTACACTCGCAACAAAGGTGGGGCAATTACCAAAGGGACCTGACAAAAGTTCCTGCGACAACAATAATTGTTTCCGGGCTTTATTTATTCACAGTTATAGGCATTTGGTTAGGGTAGCAATTGAGTTCCAGATTAGGTCTAGGGTTGGGGGTATGGTATAGGGTTAGGTGTTGTGTTAATTCCATGGTTAAAGTTAAGGATTGGTGTATATTGGAGGAGATTGAAGCGGAGCAATAGTCGCAGGAGCAAGTTCATATCCAATTTACAACAGCTCAAATGCATTTTAGACATAGAAATATAACACGGAATATAAATAAAATTATTGTTACATTTCAAAATAGGAAAAAATACGTACCACTTTCAGTTTCCTTTCTTATTTGATTTTTATTTAATTCAGTAAAGTTAGTGATAACTTTTTAATGGACCAGTTGATGCCAACATATCTATTTGATGTATCTCAATAATTTGTTGGATTTTATATATATATATATATAGATATATAGATAATGTATATACACTGTAGATTCACACACAATATAGCATTTGTCCAAAACAATCAAATGACGTACATGTTTATAGTAGACAGAATATTTATGTTATGAATGTCGTTTCCATATAGACTCAACGACTTTTGTGCGAATTCCCGCATCCACGGACGGTTGTCCGGCACGTTGTGACGTCAGATCAAAGGACTTGGATCTCTACGTAGATCATTTCAGTGATTGGTGGATTGTTGCCGTATTCACTCGGTACTTCATCGGAAAGAGGGTCCGGTGCACGCCATATATACGACCACCTGTCACGAAAAGGTTGACGCACTTACTGCTACTTTGCATATATGACGATCTCTTGGATGTTAATAAGGTGAGACAGAGATAAGGGTGTTACGACGTTGTAAATAATTTAAGATTGGGGGGGGGGGGGTGATGGGTGTGTCAGAGCAAATATTCCAGGTAGTGAGTCGAAAATGTAACAACATGCCATTAAAGAGAGTCCCCAGATTTTCGCATTTGATGCCAGATATTCTTCACAATTTTGTAAACAGGCCAAAAGATAAATTAATTAGAGAACGAGAAAAAAAGTTATCATTTCCTCCTAAAGTTCTCTGGATAGCAAGTTAACACATTTCTGGCTATTTTATGATTCATGACGTCCAAATTAGTTGCTGTGTGGGGGGGGGGGGGTAGGGACACATTTGTCTTTTTTAAAATTTAAAGATACTATGTCCCTTTTACATCCAACATCATATTCTGTAGAACTTTGCAGGAATTATGAAGTTGTCATGTATGTCATATCTGTGAAATTTAAACATTAGCAGTGTCATAATATTCAAATTATGCAAGGAAACCCGTTTACTTGCTAGACTTCATTGTCAGACACTATTGAGTGACTGAATGGCCCTTTTCTTGTTTGATAATAACATACATAAAATGATCTGTAAAGGGTATATGCGCATTTGTCTACATCAATAATCCACTTCTTGTAATGGCCAAAATTAAACTGATTGAATCTTTGTGCAGCATTAAACGTTCGACCATTCGGTACAACGGTTTGAAAATCAGACTATTACTTACTGGCTCTATAGCTCTTAAGTCTATTCTACAACTAATAGTCGTTATCTTCCCACTTAAAGACATTTTCAAGCCCCCTTTTTTAGGGAAGTTCTAAATTAGTATTATCTTTTAAATGCCGTTGGAATTTAACCTTTTCATTTTTTGGGCCTGCTAATGGGACATGTATAGTACCTTTAATATGTTATTAATATCCTAGAATTGTAAAAAGAAAAATATATATTTGTTTATAACTATTTATAGCTATTTATATATAGCTTTATCTCTTTCTTTATATATACACATATATATTTATATACAAAGAAAGACATTGAGGGGGTTGTCTTCTTTACCATCTATTATGTTTTGCTCCAACAGAAAATAAACGAAGAAATGAAGGAGTACAGAAAGCTCTATCCGCCCCAGCCAATGTTCGTAAAATGGAGATATGGTGACATCAATATCGAGTTGTTCGATGGCTCAAAGGAAAATAAGGAGAACATTGACAAACAGGTATATTCTGTGTTTCAAAGTTTTCTTTCTGTGGCATTAACTCCATCGTTTCTGGCCAAAGAACCTTTTTTGGATTTAGATACTTCAAGATAAGCCCTTTCCAGCCAATGAAAATGTTGTATACCCTATCACTGACCGAAAATTATCCTCCAAATGTTTACAAGAAAATTGCGAAAAACAACTTCAACTCCAAAAATTGCGATCTTTATACCGACGTCAATAAAACTTGTATTCATTACACTTGACAGCTGCCTTGACGTCGTCACAAAGTTATGGCAAAAAAAGAAAATCGATGACGCCATCGCGAAGTAATAGCCAGATATAATGAATGTACTATGCATTATAAAACAATCTGTGTAATGCTTGCAGTACTTTAAACGCACATACAAATGGTATTTAAATGACCGCATTGGAATGCCTTTTCGAATGATACCAAATACGGTACATGTTCACACAGAAAACTTTAGGTATTAAACTCGCATTTGAAGAAGGGTCACAATACGAATTCCGCTGGGTTTCCGTCCAATTACAACACGTATTGGCTTTGTCATTTTTCAGAACTATTTCGCTCCCTTTCCAATCTTGTTTTTCCTTGAAATTTGGAGAACATTTTCTGGGTGGCCAAACGTAGGGCATTTCAATGCCGGATTTAAAAAGTATGTCACTCCTTGAGACACATCCACATCCACATTTTGCACACCCTTTCTTTCTTACCATCAAAATGGGGATGGGGGATGGGTTTGACTTTAGGTGAATATGAACGTTTCAGAAAAGGGAATTTGATAGCATTTTTAAGTAAGTACAATCCAATCACAGTTGTGCTAGGTCGGAACTCAATTGTCATATATTTTTTAAACGTTCTTGTCAAATTTATTTTAAATATTTACTAACCTTTTCGACTATTTTTATTCATTTGAAACGAAATCGATTATTGGGTGAAACGTTTTAATCTATGATTTCAAATTTGTTGAATAAAAGTGTATGTTACTTTTTACCTTCATCTACTTAATTCACAAAACTAAGAAAATGCATTGGAACGCGATTATGCACATTGACCCCTTTCTATCTCTTTCTTGCCTTTTTTCCTTTCAATTCACCTTATATATACCTTGGCATGATAATATTCTTGTTTTATTTAAAGTTTGTGGTGATGTTTCAAATTCAGGTTATGCTTTTTAAGTTGTTTTTTAAATGAGAAAATGAATTTTAATTTACTTGAATTCATTCTTCTTTTAAAATAGATACTAGGTAAAGAAGATATGTACCTCTTTGAAAGTAAACAATTCTCCTTTGAAGTGAAGCCACTCGGGTTGGAGGCAAGCCAAAGGTTTCTCGAATTCACATTGGATCAAGCGAAGTCTTCCTCTTACCCTACCCTGATTCGTTTCGACTTGAAATATGATGGTATGTATGATAGATGAGGGACCACAAGCTACACAGTTTGATCTGAAAGTCTAAAAGTCTTCTAATTTCATGATTTTAAGACAATGTCTTGTGGAACTTGGTTGACTTGTGAGAAAAATTACGACTGACTAATGTCAATAAAGTAATAATAATAATAATATTCCGTTTTTATATAGCGCTCGATACATCGATCCAACGATGTGCCTAAGCGCTTTACAGATATATAATTACCCCGGTCATCAGATTCAGGCTTACCCGCACACAATGTGTGCACATTTTCCACTCCCTGGGGAGCATTCCAGTACTTGTTCGATTTGAAGTAACATTCGATCCCCGGGTAAAATTTGTATAACAAAATTAAAGGGTTCATAAGCTACCCACATGTAATAGCATGCATGCAGTTATTTACTTATACTATCAAATGTGAATTTCACCTCAATTTGAAACTTTTGACGATCAAAATGTTCAAGAAGGGAAATACATATTTTGACAGATAACCTTGTAATGCTTTTAATGCTCTAGGAATAATAGATATGTATAAATCATTCTGTTTTGGGGGTCATATAAGGAAGAAAAAAAGTAAGAACAATAAAAATAGAAAGTTCAAAATTATGACAACCAAAACATAATATTTACATACATTTTTCTTTAGCATAAATATTCGTATATATGAAGAGTTTCATTCCAAAAGGAGCTAAATCCACTTTGGGTACTTCTGAGTAAATCACCTTTTTTTTAATTTCTCCACTTTCCCTTTAGCCATGGACCTTAAATGTTGTTATATATTTTTAAGGTGTCACCCTGGACCAATAAAATATGATAAAAAAAATCTACAAGTGTTTCCTGATTTTTACTAAATTTTTAGAATTTTTGTTTTCGTGGATTTAGCTCCTTTTGGAACGAAACATGATATTGTACCTGGAAAAATTTCATATTTTCTCAATAAAGTCACTGAAATGTATTCAAATTTAGTAGCAAACCTTTCCTTTTTAATAATAATATTGAAATCACAACTAAAAAAACCTTTTGAAAAGAAAGTAAACAACATATCACATTTTCATTCCAAAAGGAGCTAAATCCGTTTCATTCCAAAAGGAGCTAAATCCATGTTTCATTCCAAAAGGAGCTAAATCCACAAAATCTAAACATTTAGTAAAAATCAGAAATAACTGGTAGATTTTTGTTTGTTATCATATATTATTGGTCCAGGGCGAAACCTTTAACATATATAACAATATGTAGGTACATTGCTAAAGGGAAAGTGGAGAAATAAAAAAGGTCATTTACTCAAAGTGGATTTAGCTCCTTTTGGAATGAAACCGATTTGGATTTAGCTCCTTTTGGAATGAAACATGATATTGTACCTATTTTTTTTTTATACTTCCTAGGAAAATTTTCGAATGTGATAAAGTGCATTTTGTCCCCATGTAGGAAATCATTATTTTAAGACAAATAACTCCATTTTGATAAAAATATGGATTAAGCTCCTTTTGGAATCAAGCTCTTCATATATATATATATAAATATGCATATATATTATTGTGCTAAAGGGTGACCAAAAAAAGGTTACCTTATT